TCCCTCCTAGTTAGACTTAGGAACTAATGAAATTTCCTTTGCAGGTAAATGTTAAATATGGAGTGGGGCGGACAGCGATCTCAAGCGTCGTCCGCACTAAATTTTATAAAACAAATCGTGCTAAGGACCCATTCCCGTCCCCACCCCCACTACGCCACTAGACTCCCCTCCCCGCTTGCCATTTTCCGCTCTCTCGTGTACTGCAGCCCGTTTGCTGCCGATAGCTGCATGCAGTACCAGGTGTCCATTCTAATCTGTTGGCAGGAAGGCGTGACACAAAGTTAAAAAAAAAATACAAAAACCACTCACGCGTTTTTGATCGGTGAAGGGAAATAGGAGCATGAATATGCGTGACGGAGAAGTGGAGGACGGCGGGGGATTAGGAGAAAGCTACGGGGAGGGGGAGCAAACTCGGGCGCGATCCTGTTATCAAACGGAGCTCTCCCCCCCCCCCCCCCCGCCTCCGTCAATCCACTCAGATTGGGTAGACGTGTCTGGCTTCTCAAGCCAAAACTGTGCGCAGGCGCAGGCCGCTTCTTCAGTGAAAATGCTTTTGGACGTAGGAAGGGGATCACCCTGTCTTCCCCTGTCTCGTTATTTCTCCCCACTTACTCTTTTTCTCTCCCCTGCTCTGGCACTGTCGTCTTCGGAATCCCCTTAGTTTAACCCTACATGAATTATTATTGTTCAGGGGGTCATTTTTTATTTGATTGCGTTATTGGTGGGAGGGTTGAACGGCTATTGCTTCTGCTTATACCCTAGGAACCAGCGTGCGTGTCTCCCTCCTAAGACCGTATCTCCCAGTTGCCGCCTCTGATGCCAGACCAGCCTGTTGATCGAGTCTTTTGCCCATCCGCGTCTTTTGTCTCTCTCCCGCTCCCCTTCTTTGCGGGCTTCCCTGCCTTCGGACGGAGCGCTTTGGAGGCATTCGGGGATTGTAGTCCCTGCAAGCTGCAGCCCAGGGAGGCCGATTGTGTGGGGCGAGAGTCTACTGGCTATGTAGTGCGAGCAGGGGACTCCGCGCGTCGAATCAGAAGCGGCGGCAGCGGCGGCAGCCCCCAGCCGAGTGAGAGTGACTTTGCGCCTGCAGCTCTCCGAGAGTCCCCTCCGAGGCCGTCTGAAAAGCGGACCTCTCCTCGGCGGTTGCAGTTGCGTGTGGCGGCGGCTCGGCGGGTGGGCAGCC